CCCTCTGGGAACTTGCAGGGGCCCATAATGCCTTCTGGCCAGGGTTACCTCCACCTTTACACCCAAGTCCCCTATGGACTGGGTGCTCTTCCAAACCTGAGCTTTTCCCAAGTAAGTCTAGGTATTAAAATTACCTCTCTTGGGGCCGGGGATTTAGCTCAATGGTTCTGCCGCCTGTCCTGCAAGCGCAAGGACCTGAGTTCAATTCCCGGTACCAAAAAAAAAAAAAATTACCTCTCTTGATTTTGCCCCAGCAGGAAACAGGACAGGGGCTTCTTGTCACCACCTACCAACTGTACCCTACTCCCGCCCCCTCTGGATCTCCTCCTCCTGGACCACTGTGTATACACAACCATCCTATGGAGGAAGAAGACCCCACTCAGTTAAGAGCAAAAACCGTGTAAGAAAAGGCAAAAACGGGACGACACTGGCCACTGAGGAAATACCCGCACTGGCATGCTGCCGGGTCACAAGAGGAAAGCGCCCACCTGGAGGTGATTCACTCAAATTGTCGAGTACACGTTCTCCTATGCCCAGCTGGAAACCATGGCTGGTGTTGCTGTACGGAATTCAGTTGCACAGGGGCCGGACCAGCATTTGCCTAGAGTGAGAGGCCCTGGGTTCAACCCCTCGCACCACCAAACGAAATTCATACACGAAGTTACATTCATGCACTATTGTCAGTGTCAAAGTCCACTACAACTGCCAAATCGTGACAGCTGCTGGGAAGGGAAATAATGGATGTTTTGCAAAAACGTAGCAAGAGATCTGCCTTAGGTTAGCAAGTAGGGCAGGATCGGGACAGCACACACCCGCTTGACCTGCTCAGAGTCACCCAGTGCGCCAGGCCGCTGGAATCCACCCAAACCGCTTTTCTCCTGGACTTGCAGCTGTTCTCATCAGTGTCCAAAACAGGCCCCGAAAACGTGGTAAAACCCAATAATAATACTCATGAATGCTTTCTTTAATGTCTGAGGCCTACTTGTAACTACTCCGTGGGCATAAGAGCAGCCAAGCCAGGCCAACGCTCATCAACCTCACATTTAAAGAATTTGTATTACAACTTTAGGTATGAGAATTGACCTCACGGTTATGCTTTCTTTTTTGTCTTTTATAAAAACATGCTCCAAATATGTGAAGATGAAATGATTTAATGATTTAACTTATGTTTCTTTGACTTTTTTCTAGTGTTTATGGACATTAATAGGAACAATTTAATTAATATGTTTTCATATAATTTTACAATCTCTGACTATAACCCTGATTGGCTTACATGTGATATGAACTTAATTTTTATTTAGTGTATAGCTAAATTTTTTGTCTGTAATTTGCTTCAAAATAATATAAAAGGGGATCGCTAAAGGGAAGGTTCGGGTAGGACTGGTTTTAGGTTGATAGATACAGAGCTATGGGTTCTTAGGGATTCATTGCACCATTCTGTCTGCTTACGTGTGTATTTCAAATTTTCCATAACTCAAAGTAAAAAAAGAGTCAAAAATAAAATATAATCTGTCATATAAATCTACCTTCATCTCTGACTCTGTGTGTGTGAGTAGACGTGCTCAACACACGTGGCCGTGGCAAAAGCAGAGTGTTTCTTCACACCGGTACATTAACATACACATTTACTGCCTGCCACCAACCGAGCGCCACTGTACACAGCAGGGTCCTAGATTCCATGTGCTGCTCCTTCTGACATTTGTGCAGCCTCAAGCATGCAGCTCATGTTGCTCACTTTTAACTCCACATAGTGACGTCTGCCTGTGGGGTGGAGGTGTGAGAATCAGTGGCGGACATGGAAGGGGGTTCAGTACTGACTGGGCAGTGTGCTGGGGACTAGGGCAGTTCTGACTGAACATCCATAATCAGTCTCATCTCTGCCACCGGGTGGTCCAGTGAAGCTGGACAAGCCACTTAACCTGGCCAGTCCTCGTTTCTCTACCTGTACATGACATGGCAAGGCCACAACCTTCCAATATCCCATTACAGTCTGCTGAAGAACATTTTAAATGCTTATCACACAAAATATATTGGTTTTTGTTCATAAATGAAAACATACGTAGTGTAGATAACCTAAGCAATGTAAATTAAGTATCATATTTTTAATTTGTTTTTGTAGAAAATGATTTGTAGTCTTTTAAAAAGCAAAGTCATCAAGTTGGAGTTTCCTTTGACTGTTTCTTTGTTCTGAATATTGTGATGTGCATACTAAGTACAATTCCTCATTTAGCGACAAATTCATTTAACCACTTAGCCACAGGAATGGAACTTGGTCATTAAATGAGGAGTGTCTGTATAAGATGAAAAGTAATAATAAAAAACTTTGAAGCTTTGGAATATCTCATTGTAAGAAGGAACAAGATGTGTCTAAATGAAATGATGGGCCAGGTGATGATCGTCCACTGGAGCCGAGACCAGCATCTGGAGCTGCAGGGAGGAGCTTAGTGATGGAAGGGTCAGGCGACAACCCAGCACCACTGGTAAATGTTAGCATCACAAGGAGAGATAACTTGACAGTATGCAACGCTGAGGTAGACAGCGGCGCCTGGGATGAAAAACTGAACCTGACCCTGACCAAGATGCTAGACCCAACTCCAGTTTGCAGGAAGTGCTGGAGGCAGAAGGACACTAAGTTGTTCAGTGAACTGTAAGGATGGGATCAGCTGAATCCAGAATTTAAAAAAAAATCATTATTGGACAACCTACAGAATGTAGAAAAATGTTTGCCAGCTATTCCTCCAACCAAGGACTAATATCTAGAATACATAAAGAACTCAAAAAAATTAGTGCCCCCCCCCAAATAAAAGATGCACTAAAAAATGGGCCACTGAAATGAACAGGCACTTTTCCGCAGAAGTACAAATGGCCAATAAACCCAAGAAAAATGTTTGGCATCTCAGGCCATTAGAGAAATTCAATGAGATTCTATCTTACCCCAGAAAGAATGGCCATCACCAAGAAATCAAATAGTAATAAATGCTGATGAGGCTGCTGGGGAAAAGGAACCCTCCTACATTGTTAGTGCGAATGTAAAATAGTACATTCCCCATTCTGGACATCAGTATGAAGATGTCTCAAAAAACTAAAAATAGCAATTCCTTTTGGTCCAGCTACTCCCCTTCTAGGTATCGTCCCCAAAGTGTCAAAGACATCATGTTATGGTGATATATGCACATCCATGTTTACAGCAGCACAATTCATAATAGCTAAATCTTTGAAGTGGCCTATATGTCTATCAACAGATGAATGTATAGAGAAAATGTGATATTTACACACAATGGAATACTATTCTGCCATAAAGAAAGATAAAGGAAACATTTGTAGGAAAATGGATGCATCTTGAGAACATAACGTTAAGTGAAATAAATCAGACACACAAGCTTAAATATCACATAACTTCTCTTATATGGGAACCCAAAATACAAATAAAAAGCAAAATAAAAGACAGATAATAGTAAGTAGGGAGATAGATCTTTCCCAAATGAGAAGGGGATCAAGAGATGAGGGAGGAAGAGAGTAAGGTGAGGGGAAGAGAATGAAAAAGAGTTAAGATGTGTTATGTCTGCATACCAACTCCTCACAAGGAATGTGAACATTATGGACTGCAAACATGCACTAATAAAAAATCATTATAGAGCAAATGTTCCAGTTTTATCAACAAATATATTCCAAGAGGAAAACAAGATAGTGGGAAGAATTTAATTTTTACAATCTTCAAGAAGTATGTCAAAAATATATTGGGCAGACTTTGTTGGTGTACTTCTAAGTTTCTTAACTGTGGACTGTATTGGTTTGGGGAGGTATGTTTGTATGGAGTTATTTTTGTTTAGCTTTGTGGCGTACTGGGAATTGAACCCAGGGCCTTGCACATGCTAAATACATGCTCTGCCACTGGGCTATACCCCAGCCCCTTGGTTTTTTAACCACATTTTGAGGCCAAGTGGCACCCTAAAAGCTGTACATATTTAATGTCTACAACCTGGTGAGCCTGCAGGGACTGACACACCTGTAAACCACCCTGCAGCCTATGCTGTGCACATCCACGACCTCCACAAGATTACACCTCTGCATGTATTTATGTAATAAGAACACTTAGACCTTGTTTGAATCTTGATTTAAATAAACTGATTGCTGAAGAAGTGGGAGGAAATTTGAATATTAACTGGGTTATTTGGTGATATTCCAGAACTGTTATTTTTTAAATGGAATACAGAGTTGAAACGTAAATCAGAATTTCGGGTGGGCCTTTTCTATTGGCCAGTTTATATTTGGCTTGAAAAAGTTTAAGGTGGAAGGGGAAAGAAAACAAAGATGGGCCTGAGTCAATCACTCTTGACACCAGGCAAGCTGAGCATGGGATTTCATTACGATGCCCTCTCTTTTCATGTGTTAGTTTTTCTATAATTAAAAAAAAAGACAGGAAAAGAAAAAGAAACAATGGGCCGGGGATTTAGCCCCGTGGTTCCGTCGCCTGCCTTGCAAGCTCAAGGACCCGAGTTTGATCCCTGGTACCAAAAAAAAAAAAAGAAAGAAAAAAGAAAAAGAAACAGAATGTACTAATTAAAATTGATTTATAGAGCCAAAAATATTATCCTGAATTTGAACACGGTGCGGCTCAATTTATTTGCTGTGTAAAGTGCTCTTTGAAAAGACAGAATGCCTAGAAATCTGTTGATTTATGTCTTTGTTTCATTTAGAAATTGAGAGCTTTTTAATGAGCAGAAAAATTACTCTACTCTTTAGCAAAACATTCCCTGGACGCACACACAATGGCCTTCTTTTGGGGCTGTGTGTTGATGGGGTCTCGGTTACTGGGTCAGTGGAAATCCGTGCCAGAGAAGCCTACCTGGAGGTGAAGCGGACTACCTTAGGGGGAGGAGCGTCCTACTTCAGGGGGCGGAGCATCCTACCTCGGGGGCGGAGCGTCCTACTTCAGGGGGCGGAGCAGCCCGGGGGGGCGGGGGGTGGCGGGGGTGGCGACAGCCCCTTGGCCTCCCTCCCCAGGAGGAGCCAGGAGTTGCAGCTGCCAGCTCCTCCGCCCGGATCCTTTCCCAGCGCCAGGTGGAGCCCTGTCCCCGGATCTCGCCGGGCCCCGCACTCCTGGACCCCGGCGGCTGGGAGGCAGCTGTGCCCGTTCCACTCGGCCCTGGCAGCAGCGGCTCAGGGAAGGCGAAGCCTCCTCACCCCGGACCTAGTGGCCGCAGAGAGCACGGCTTCCCCACTGCGCCCGCCCGCCCGCCGCGTCCCTGGGTCAGGACCTGAGCAGACCTCCCTGGCGCCGCCGTGAAGGCTCCGTCCTTGTCTCTTAGGAAGCCTGGAAAACGCATCCTTGCCAGGTGGGGCGCTGCAGTGAGTATCTGTGCCGGTCACCTTTCTGATGCTGGGACCAAAATACGAAACTGAAAGGAGGAAAGAGTTATTTTGACTCGCGGGTTCAGAAGTTTCAATCCAAGGCAGAAATAGCAGCCAGCAAGCAGAGAGGGAGGGAAAGAGCCAGACGGGGAGGAAGGCGCGTTTAACCCCAGGACTTAGGAGGGTCACGAGTTCGAGATCGGCCTGGGCGACATAGCGAGATCCCGTCTGGAACAAGAGGAGAGAGGAGGAGAGGGAGGAGAAGAGGGGCGAATAAGAAGTTAGGAAATGATTCAACAAAACGCCTGAAGCTTCTGGAGCAAAAGGCTGCCTGATGAAAGCCTATATTAGGAAAACACGTGACATAGGAGAGTGCAGGACAGACCTGAGGCAAGAAACTCAGGCTGGTGACACACTGAAGGGTGCTGCAGCCCCCACTTTGGACATCAGTGGGTGCCACAGGCAAACTCAGTAGAGAGGAAGGAGAACCGTAAGTGGCATCTTAAAGCACAAATCCACAGGGCCTGAGGACAGAGGGAAAATATCAAACCAAACACGTTCAGTCAGAAGATCGGTGTCTAATCCTAACTCCCAAAGGTGTAAGTTCTATTAATTTTGGATATTTCTTTAATTTCTCTGAGTTGATCTTCTCTGTAAAATGAGGGGATGGAACAAAACACCTGAAGTTCTTCCCACTTGTAAGTCTCTGGTTATAAAGTCACAAAGGAAAATTGAAAACAATGTAAATGACACATTCAGTCGGAAAAGGCAAAGAAAGAGGTGTCCAGTGTACGCTGGAACATAAGTTATCTGAACAGTGTCTGTACAGTGGATGTTTTAATTGCTGCTCATCTTTTAATTTACAAACACTGCAGCAATGAATGATGCAAAAGTACTTGAACTCTCCTAGATTTTCAATTTGCTTGTAAGAACTACACCCTGATAGCTCACCGTAACAGTGACACTAATTGCGCTCCTAACTCTTCCTTAGAGATGAAGGGTACACTAAGATTTATTTCCTGATTATAAAATTGTGAAAATATTTGGGAAAAAATATAATGAGCTCACAAATACACAGAAAGTTGATTAACTTTATTATTATGATCAACCACAAATAGCACTAGTCACTTTTTCCCTAGATAACTGTGTGTAAGGTGACATTAAAATGCTTGTTTCTTTTACAATGACGCTTTAGACTTGTTCCACTCATTATTATTTTGTAGACAGAAAGACTCCTAGCTGAGACAACTGTTTAAAGTAAATGAGGAAAGCAAGCACACTACTTCGATCCTGAAAACAGCCATGGAAAAAGACAAATGGAAATCCTAGTCCTGGCAGCCAGCAGTTTCCTGAGCACCCACTGCCTTAAATTGCAAGGGCTTAAGGGCCTTCGGCTAAGCTGTGTGGACATTGTGTGTTACAGGTTCTCCTTTTACAGAATGAAGATCAAGGTGGATAAAAGGAAGACAGAAATAGGTTCACAAAGGTCTATCTGACCAGAAACTAATACCCACGGTTTGTAAAGAACTCCTACAGTTCAGGAAAATGTAAACCACTCAATACAAAGTGGACCCAGATGTTGAGCAGACGTTCCCCTAAGAATGCCTGCTGATTGCCAAGAAGCATATGAAGAGTCCTGACACCATCAGTCACTGGGAAATGCCGATGGACGCCACAATGGGGTGTCAGAGGCGCCCCCAAAAGGGTGAGGATCCAAGAGACTGACCGCACCACATGTTGGCAAGAACAGGGAGGACCTAGAACTTGGCCACCATGCCGGTGGTGCAGTAGTGTGAAACACCATTATCACACTGGGAAGCAGCCCTAGTAGTGTCTCATGATACTAAGTACACAGATTCTGTGACCAAGTGATCCCACTCTGAAGATGATCGATCCCTCTGTCCACAGAATACTGTTCTACAATGCTCCAGCAGCTCTGCTCGTCGTGGCCCAGAGCTGGAAACCGCTCAATTGTTCATCAAGAGATGAATGGACAGACCGACCGATTAAAATAAATTTAATCGGGCTGGGGATTTAGCTCAGTGGTTCCTCCACCTGCCTTGCAAGCACAAGGTCCCAAGTTCGATCCCTGGTAGCAAAAAAAAAAAAAAATTAAAAAAAAATTTTTTAAATAAAATAAATTTAATCTAGTAAGAAAAAATTAAGTTTTTATGATGAATAAAGATGATGATAACAATTGATAAATGTTAAGGCAACAGGAAAAGAGGGATTTGGCCATAAGAATGAGGTTAGTAACACTCACTGTGCTCCTGATTCCCAAAGGTGTGCCTGGATTTTATGAAAGATATTAAATTTAATAAAGGTGTTAAAAATGTGGACACTGATACCTGGTATCCATCATTCAAGGGATTCATCAAAAGAAAATGAATGTGGGGTGGAGAAAACTACAAAGAAGAAAAAAGTAATGCTGAATTAAAGAGAACAGAAAAAGAATGAGTAGAACAAAATGCACGTTTTCATTTTGACCAGTTTTATAAGGAAGGAAAATGACAATTTTGAACTTCACAGAATTGTGGTGATGGTGTTTTTGTACATACATCTTCAGATTCCCAATTAAGTGCTTCGTGAGATTTTTCTATACTGTTTGAATCCTTTTCATCAAAATGGTTGTAGCATCCAAATAGGCACATTGATCTTAGCTTTAGTATCTGTCAAAACAGCAAGCAAGGTAAACATGACTGGAGGCTACATTTCAAAACCAAAAGGAAAGAGGAAGAAAGCTTCAGCTGACAGGAATGAGGGTGGTGGAGGAAAGAAGTGCTGCATCTCTGTGGAGGGCAGGTGTCTCCGGGACCCAGACTAAGGCTATCCTCACCAGTGGGCTATGCACCTATTCGTAATGAAGGGTTTGACTCACACGTTTATCAAAATGGATTTTCCTTGAGCCTTAAGACCTGAACTGTGCTGGGTCCCTCAGGATATCACAGAATGACCTATTTTCACGAGTTAATCCCAGACCTAAATACTAATCTTTTACTGCACCTGCTAGAGGATAATGTAAATTAACTTTATTGATTGCAGAACTAGATGTGCATTAATGTCTTTCTTGATCTCTGCCCTAGTAGAGCATGAGAAGTACCATTTATTTCAAACGAAAAAAATGCAGAGTGGTACTGATAGGGATTATATTTCAAACTGCAAGTACAATATTGGCTTAGTTTCTATTTTGCAGATTCTTTAATTCTACAAAGAAGAAAATTACTTGCATTATTGAACAACAATTGCCTGCAAACTGTAAGCATAAGGAACCTTAAATCAATGGACTCAATCAATTTAGCACATTTCCATTCCTTTTCTGAGGTAGAGATTCAATATTCTGCCACTACAACCTTGGCTGTAGTCTTGACAACTGTAGTTGCTATCTTTCAAAAGACAGTGCTAGAATCTTACCTACTTAACCTCATTTTAATATAAGTACCTTTAAAAGCTTTATTTCTGAATTAAATAATTTGTCTTCATGTCATTCAAAACTTTCAAGATATTTTCCAAGCCAGATTCTGCAAAATAACCTTTCAGCTAGAAAAACCTCAGACACATTCTGAAAGGGGATCAGCATTCAGAGGACCCAGGCCACAGGCAAGGTGCAGGAAGAGCCTTGTTTGTGTATATTGGTGAAAATTATTGTGCAAAATGGAGTCATTCCTGTCATACCCCCACTGAAAAGGGTCAAGGGGCCAGAGGGCGAAAAATATTCAGGTCAGTGAGCCAGTATCCTAAGGAACTGTCTCCCAAAACCAATCCAAAAATACACTCTGCCATAACTTTAAGACTAGTTTTTTCTTTGCAACACTGGGGTTTGAATCCAGGGCCTTCATACTGGACCACATTCCCAGCCCTTTTTTTAACTTTTTAAATACTGAGACAGAGTCTTGCTAAGTTGCTTAATTGCCCAGGGTGGGCTCAAACTTGCAATTCTCCTCTCTCAGCCTCCCAGAGTGCTGGGATTACAGGTGTACACTAGTGCACCTAGCTTTTAAGACTAATTTTATTCAACAATTGTCTACAGAACAATAGCTATGACTTTAAGACTAATTTTACCTGGTGACTGCAGCCACCTGCCAGCTAGAGTTAGCCAACTCTTACATAACACAAGTGGTAATGAGCTTTCTTTCAAAATATCCACATACCTCTTCTCTTTCTCCAATAAACCCTTAACCCTTCATTTGTTTTTTGAACACATCAGATGCTACCCTGGCCTATGCATGTTTATGGGATTGCAATCCTATCATTTGTTTATTCTCAAGAAAAATTTCCTTCGTTGAAGATTCATCTCTCTATTTTTATTTGATTTTAACATGCTCATCTGTATTAGTCCCCTTTCCATTGCTGTGACAAAATAACTGTGAGGAGCAGTACACAGGAAGAAAGGTTTATGCCCACTCATGGTTTCAGAGGTACAGTCCATGGTCAGCTGGCTCCCTTATTTTGGGCCAGTGATGAGGCAGAAACATCATGGTGGAAAGGCTTGCCAGAGGAAAGCTGCTCACCTCATGGCAGCCAGGAAGCAGAAAGGTTGAGAAAAGCAGAGAAGAAGGTGCCCCAGGATAAGATATACCCTTCAAAGTCACACCCCATGACCTGTTTTCTCCAACTGGGCCCCACCTCTAACAGCCCTATCAGCTAATAAACTCAGCTAAGTGGATTAATCTGTTTGGTATAGTTACAGCCTTCATGATGCAATCAATTCCTCAAAGCCCATCAGCTGCCAAACAAGCCTTCAACACAGTGAGCCTTTTGATGGATGTTTTTAATCCAAATCATAACGTCCTTCAGTCCTCACTAGCACTTTATGAAGTAACTGCTATTACAGTATTGCCCCATTTGAACAAGGAAGGAAATTGAATATCAAGAAAAATTAAGAAATTTCCCCAAGGCTATCAGGAAGTAAATAGCAGGATCAGAGCTCAAACTCAGGATGCTAAGCCCTGCATTGAACTCTCACATTATACAAATGGCCCTGAGCCCTTGTGCCCAGGGGTGCTCCCCAGAGAAATTAGAATTTAAGATGGGCAGTAAAGATTGTAAGGATTGGATAAACATGGAGAAAAGGGAGTGATTTTCCTAGGAAAGGAAGAGTACAAACAAACAAAAATTTCAAAAGTAGGAATGTCTGTTGAATGTATTCTAATATGGATAACATCATAGGACTTATAGTATCTTCATATTCATTTCATGGGTCCTTGAAATAAAATCTTTTTAATACTAGAGAAGGTGCCACCGCCTGCCTCACAAGCATAAGGTCCCAAGTTTGACCCCGGTACCAAAAAAAAAAAAAACTAGAGAAGGTACTACAACCCTTTGCACATGCAGGAATTAAAGATCCAAGAGGTGAAGTGATGTTCCCATCACATGTCTCTCCAGCCACAGAGCTTGGTAACTGCATCCCATCCATCAGCCTAGGTTCAGGTGTGACCCCTCAGAGAGCTAGGGCTGACTTCCCCTGCTGGGTCAAGTCCCTCCCTAGTGCATGCCCTCATTGAACCATGCACCTCTCTTTTGTAGCATTTATCATTATTGGGATAGTCTATGTACTCATGGGAATCAACACCAAGGCAAGAAGAATAAATAAGTAAATATACAAATTAGCCGAATTCAGGTCTGCCTAGATCTGTTGCTGGACACTTTCTACATGAATATACTATTTACAAAAGGTACCATTGAAAGATCTGAGGCTATTTTACCTGACGAATACTTGAAGAACTGTCATGATGAAGATGGACTCGACATATTCCTCATAGCTTTGTAACTCCAGAGAGGAGGTCAAAGACAAGCAGGTGAAAGTTCAGGGGAGCAGATTTCACCGTATTTTGAGAAGGTGAAGTGTGTTGCAATAAACTGGTCCGGATATCAAGTGCACTGTCTGCACTAGGTGAGCAAGCAAGAGCCTGAGGAACACCAGTCAAGGTGGAGAGGATACCCCTGTTCTGCTCAGGGGATTTTTAGCCCTGTTCAAACCTAGTAGCTTCTCTATGAGTGGGAGAAACTTGGAAGCAAAACTGAATTTAGACACACCTCAAGGACGGAGCACTGCAATGATAAGGGTCTTCAGGATGCCTGGCCAACATGGGGTTCCTGAAGACTCCATCTGCATCCTGTCCCTGCTTAGGAGGTCTTTGGGAGCCAGCATTCCAGCAGAGTTAGGGCTGTGCAGCTGCCACTATGAATAAACAGGGGACGCAGCAGACAGGGGAAAGCCCAGGCCAACTCTCCTCCTCCACCCACGCCACCCACAGTCCCCCCGGCACAAACACATTTCCACGTCGGAAGCCACCATTTTGCGCTGAAACCTCAGTACCTGCTTCGAGAACTCATTCCTGATGACCATGGGAAGCTGTCCCTTTTCTCTGGTAGTTAAGGCTACCCCTATGCTGAGCACAGCTTTCAACGCTGTTTCTTTCTCCTCCTCCAAACATTCAAGATCATGAAAAAGACATTCAGAGAGAAGAAAACTAAAAATCAATTCTTAAATTCACCAAAAAAAAAGGCCTTAAAAACATGTGGAAGCCTTCAGCTTCCTACAAGCTAAAATCTAGTGACACTAATATTTGAATGGAGGTGGCCTGAGATCTGAAGCTGTTACTTTCACCAGGTGAAAGCCCGGATGACCAACACAAGTTTGTCTATAGAGCAATATATTCTGAGTGTCAAACAACCAGTTTGCAAATTTTGGAGCATAACCCACTCATGAAAAATCAAATTCAATAAATTATAATGTTAGGGCTGGGGATTTAGCTCAGTGGTTCCGCCGCCTGCCTTGCAAGCACAAGGTCCCAAGTATAGTCCCTGGTACCAAAAAAATAAAAAATAAATTATAATGTTAAAATTCTAGGATAATTTATCATTTCAATGCACAGTGCCCTTCTTGCTGCATGATATTTGGTAATCCAGTCATTAAACATTTATGAGTAGCAGCTATGTGTCAAGCACTATGTGTAGGAAGGTAAACAAAATGGGTGTGATCACTGATGTTTTAGGTTTATAATTGAATGTAGACAAAATAACAAACACCAAATTAATACATGAGGACAAGTTGTGACAACTGACCCGAAGGGAAAGGTCGGTAAGGAGAACACTAGGCTTTTCCAAGGAAAAGACATTAAGCTGAGAAATTAGGACTAAGTGAGAATTAACCTCAGGAATGGTGAGGAAAAGGACCACTCCTGACAAAGGATATATCCCTGCCTGGGAAGGAAAGCATTCAGCTGCTTCTTAAGAACCAGAAAGAAAGCCAGTTTGAGGAAGAAGCAGAAGACTGAGATGGCGCTGAGGGAAATGCAGGGGCTGGAAGGACATGCGGAGGAGCTTGAAGGTCGCACTGCACTCG